GGCTGACCAGTTAATAACGAAATATATATCAGCAGTTTACATATGTTGAGTCAAGTCATAGCTGATAAATGCTTCTTGCTGTACATTAACCCTTCAGTGACTGTTCCTTGTATTTCACAGCTGGGAATTTACTTCACCGCCACCTATAATATTTATTACTTAAATTTTATGGTAATTTTTACATACTGTATCTAAGCATGTAAAATTATACGTGTTGAGTTTTTGTGTGCACATATTTTTTAAGGTATGCATTTATATGTTGAATCAGTATGATTTATGGAAATTTTAGCATACTTTGTTATAACTCATAAAGTTCTGAAGCCTTTGGAAGGTGAAAAAGCAGCAGACTTAAGAGGTTGCTTTGCTGCCTGTGTGTGCATGTCCACTTAAAACTTTTGTGTCAGTTATGGTAGGAATGAGTCTGCATTAACTATGAATACGGTAGAAGAAAGGTGCCATTGACAAATATCACGGATGATGCTGAGGTCAAACACACGGGCCTTTGGTAGAACTGTTGTGTGTAGCAAATATGATTGGAAATTAAAATAGCATGAGAAAGTTCCTGCATATCCGGGAGAAAGTCTGTCTAATGAAACTGATATTCTGTTCCCCCGTTAGCATAAGCATATTCCCATTTTAGTTGTAAGGCCCTGTTTACCATTTCCAGGAATGCGTTTCGTACACAGGAATGGTGTTACCTAGCAAGGGACGATGTCTTGCTCTTGCGCAGGACTCTGCCCTTAGCTTTTTGGTTGGTTGGTTGGTGATATTCTGTTCATGTATATACTGTGTGAACAGTGTGGTGTATTAGCATTTAAAGCTGAAAAGGGATGAATTGTTCATAATAATTATTGTTTATTTTCCCTATTTTGTTATCCTTAAATTCCTGAAATGAGGGGAAGGATGGGTGCTTTAGTGGAGTTGATGAGCAAAGCAAGCTAAGGTAGAGCCCCTAGTATTTTTATTCTTAGGTTCTCAGAGAAATTTATTTTCATATGTATAATTTTTAAATACAGCCAGTTACAAGAATTAGAATGTGTCACAAATTACCAACATTGCTACTCATAATTATTTAACTATGTATCCATGATTGTGGAGTGACAGTGTTAATATTATAAATAGATTATTATATTTGTATGGGGTAATTGCATTCTTTAATTTCTGTGATAAATGTAAGTATGACTACTCTGTGATGCTGTTTTCTAGCCATGTGTGCAGAACACCCACCACTGTTTTTCCAGAAGTTTATTTAATATTTCCTTTGATGTCAAGCTGACTTCAGAGGGCAAAGCTTTTGATGGCAGAATTCACTGAGAAGTGTTTTCAGTCATCAGTGGAATTTGAATATATCGATCCGACTTAAACTCAGAATTGGGTGTTTTAAAGGATATAACAGTTGGAGCAGACAACTCTGTGACGGTTGCTCAAGCACTTCACCTTCCATCAAAATTTTTTTGTAAAGTATCTTTAGTTCAAGATGTTCACTTCATAGGCTAAGAGAAGACATTGTAATTTTAAAAGACTGTTAATTATTAATGCATCTGTGTAAGCATATATTTTATGTAATTGAACTATTCACTGAAAGTTTTTTATAACCTTATTTTAAGTTAATCAGGTACATTATAAATTTTTGCATCTCTGACATCATCCAGCACCTTTGTGCTTGATGTGAAGTGCTTTTAAAACTTTATGGTTATAGATAAATGAATCACTAATTATAACTTTATACTTTTCATTGTGTTCGATTCACACCTTTACCTAAGTTAATTGACTGAAAATTGGCCCTGTTCAGAGTAGGTAATGATTAGCGAATGATAATTGTATTTACAATTTTATTTGGTCCTGTTAAATTTTATATGAACAGGTAAGGAAATTAAGGGTTCATAACAGAAAGACGATATGAATTCTTATGGCATTTTATGATCGGCATAATAACCATCCAGACATGTTATTGTACAGTTTTATATCTGCTGCAAACTCGTGTATGAGTTACTAACACTTTAATATCTAATGGTAAATATATGTCCCACCTGCTTTAACAGTCGGTAAATCTGCATTTTATAGTTATATATTTTTTGTATGATTCTCGGTGTAAACGGATTTAATTTTTGTGATGTTTAACTGCGGTTTCTCACCCCGCCCCCCCCAATACAGGCTAAATAATTAAATATTATTTAGGCAAGCCTTGGCTTTAAAGGGCTTACAGGGGTACACTGGAAATATTTACAGTTTACACACTGTGCCCAAAACTAATGCTTATTATATGCAAAACTCAGAAACATGTGGCATGCGGAATGAGCAGTCTTCTTGCCTGCTAGTGGTGACTGATCTGGAAGAATATTGAATTAGTGTCGAATGAAGCGAAACAGTATACGAAGCAGTTACATTTTATGTCTTGTTGTATAGGCCAAGTGATATGTTATCAAAAGATGTCAGTCTTTCATATTGTTTTATTTCCCTGGAATGTTATATACGGCGAAATTCAGGCAGCATTGTACAGTGAATGTTGGTAATATCGTGCATTAGCCAATAATTACCTTGTTATGAACTTTCAAACACTGGTTCATTATTTTCTCCCCACCCATTTCAATACAACTCTCTAACATTTAGAATTAAAAGGCATAAGTCTGACTATTCCCTATTTCAATCAGTCAGAAATATATTACCTAGCAACCTACAGCAGGATTGATACAGCAGTACAGTATACTCATGTGGAAGTATTAAGTCCATAACAGTGCAAGGGTGTGAATTTGAAACTAGCATTTTGTCTTTGCAATTAAAATATGATATTTTCCGCTGTAACATGGAGTAGTATGGCGGCCAAACCAGCTTGTCAGCTAGGAAATGTTGGTTCAGCATCAATTAAAGATTGATGGACAGAGTTAACAACTCAAAATTTGAAGTTAGTAGCTGTAATAAAAATTAGTTGTCAGTAACATTAATCATATCAAATTAATATAAGTTATCGGCAAAGTGTTGTTATGTTAGAGTAATCATAACGAAGTCGTCAGTTAGAAAATTAATGTTTTATCCAAATTATTCATATGTGATTGTTAATGTCATGTTAAAATCAACTTACATAAACCATTCATACTGCTGGAATTACCAGAACAATTATAATCACTGCCTTTTGTAACTGAAGTATCATTTGTATCCCATTTGTAAAGTCTGAAACGGAGGCGTTCCTTATGGCCACATTGGACTTTTGTATGCACTTAGAATTAAATCTGGTATGTGACACTTGCTGTTTAGGTGCTGCTGAATCTGTTGAGCGATAATCGGCCACTGACAGTGCTGCAGTATGACCGTGTGATCCGTTACCTGCAGGATAAGCGTGAGATGCAGCTCCAACTTGAGCTTGGTGATGCCAAGGACTTGCCCCCTGTTAAGTCTGTCACAGGTATGGTCAATGTTGCCATGAATCATGATCTTTAGAATTAATTTATATTTGTATGTGTTTCATAGGTCACACTGGCTCTTGCTAGCTTCTTTTCATTCAGTTTGGTTAGGATACAGGCTTCACATATTGATTGATTTCAGCGTTGTATGGTGTGTCACCAAGAAAAGATGTACATTTTATTATAGCACTGAAAATTGAAGCTGAATTGTTGTATTAAAGTTTGATAAGAATGATTTGATTTACCAAGTTTGATTCATTGCTTGGACACCAGGTTTAATTAATTGTTAGAATTTTTATTGAATGTCGCATTTGAGCGATTAATACACTTTCTTTGTATTGGGGAGGTCCCGGTTAAGTACGACCCAGAGATGGGCTATCCTGACATCAAAATGTTGGGATTGTATCTCAAGTTAGACCACTGTTCTGTAACCATTGTACAATCAAGGTTACATGTGTGTCCTACATTTTTATAAATAATTCTTTATTTGCATGTTACAGTTAGTTACAAAGAGGCAGTAGCTTATCTTTCATTCACACATGTGCATGCGCACAGGTTTATCATTCTTAGTTTTTTTTCTTTCAAGTGCCTGCATTCTTTGGGTAGGAATTTATATGTTCATACATATTTATGGTCATGTATAGTTTCATACCCCCTTTTCTTGAGGTGAAATTTTGTGGTATTCCATATTGTGTCTGACAAATTAGGGTGTACTACAGGTGAAGAAAGTTTGCAGAACATTGGGTTAGACTAAAGTATATAAAATAAGCAAACAAACAAACTATGAACATTATAAAAAAGACACTAGTGCCATACGTGTTTCAACCTCAAGAGGTAGTAACACCCACGCTTCGTTGGAGTTCACAGGTACGGACGACGCAACCACGGCTCGCCACAGACCAGCTACGGACACCGGACCATCGGATCAATAGCTAAGTGCAGAGTTCAACTCCTGTGAATACCAACATCCAGTGT